ACCTTAATCCTTTCCTTTCCCTTTCCCTTTCCCTTTCCCTTTCCCTTTCCCTTTCCCTTTCCCTTTCCCTTTCCCTTTCCCTTCCCCTTCCCCTTGCCTTCATTTCTCCAATTTCTATATTTTCACTGTCATCATCTTGCACAAAGAGCATGCAAGGATGGAACTAGATGACCTCTAAGGTCCCTTCCAACCCAAGCCATTCTATGATTTTATGATTCTCTCTTTGGGAAGAGACTAAGCTCCACAAAATTATGTTGCTTGGAAATGCATGCACTTTCTAGGAATGAATCCACTCAGTAACCAAGAGCAATATGTAAAGAAAGAAACTACAAGCAGCTTGGCTGGTTTTGCCTGCTTTTGGCCCCAAGATAACTGTGCATTAGAGGCAGACTTGCAGGAATGCATTAGCTCAGAAAAACCACACCAGAGCCTGCGGAAATTTCACATCCTTGTGGAGGTAACAGCGTCTCCTTTTTCTTGTACAGGCACATGTCCTTTACTGTAGGGTGCACATGTTCTTATATAATAAGGAAAAACACGCTCCTCGTGAGATGGTGAACAAAGAGATTTTATTTCAAATTCGGCGCTGGTTTTATCCCTCAAAACCATGTGACTTCTTTGACCAATAAGGTTGTCTATGTCAGCGCATGCTCCCTCGGGCACTCTTGCCCTGGTACATCCCTTGTACCTTAAACACGCCCCCTACACTTTACCTCCTATCTGTTGGATGGGACCACAGCTTCCTCATCTCACAGCACTTGTATCAGGTCCAGGTCCTGCAGCAGCTGGGATAGCCTTAGGTCTTTAGACCAGTATCCGGCCTGGCCATGGCTTTGCTGTGTTTCATCTGATGCTGGTGGAGAACTTAGAACCATGGACTTGTTCCAGAGAATGCTAAAATAATTTTTCTTTACTTCCTTTGGGCAGCTACTACTCAGAAGAGATCTGTGTGCTACATGCTGTTTCTGAACAGAATGTAACCAAGCCCAGCTGTCAGTATTCAGCTGAAATGTGCCTTGGAGAGCAGTCATTTCATTTTATGCATGCTGGCCCTTGTCGTGGTGATTCCAGCCTAGACTGGGCTATTGAAAGGGCAAAGCTCTCTACAAATAGCTTGAAGAAAGTGCCCTGTGGCTATGACACCTGCTATGACTGGGAGGATTGTCCAGGTATGACTTCTGAATGGTGAGATTTATCCAGCCCTTTGGATATAAAAGTGAAATGTGCTGACTCTTTCACTGCTCCAAGAATGGCATTTATAGACGTTGTGGTCCCTTTGGGCACAAGGAGTGTGGAAATGCAGTAAGTCCTGAGTCCCTCTTAGCAAGTGTTACACTTAAATATGTGCCTTTTCCCTTACCCACAACTACTCTATCATTGTTACTTCCCATGAGAAAGGCACAAGAGGAATTTGGATATTAAGGGAACTTTTCCAGGAGAATTAACATTTGAACCTTTAATCACAAGAATGTAGTTGGTAATATTATCACACATTCCCTGTGAGACACTAACCACTAGTTTGTTCTTCAGGAATTAATTTGGGCCACACCCTCTATAGCATATAATTAAATTGTGAAATTAGATCATGATACTACTTCAAAAGCAAGACTGGGGCCACCAGGCTTAATGGGATTTTAATGGTAAAATTTGCAAATACCCATATGTGACAACACTGCTTAAGAGTTTTAATGAACTAGCTAAGCAGGTCAAATCCCTAAGAGGATTATTTTATAAACACTGTTGTGCAATTTGGCTATTTACTGTGTAACCAGGTGATAAGAGCAGTAGGTTTTCCTGTAAATGTCTGAGGTGCTGCCTGGCTCTGCACATCAAGTGCTTGCTAGGAAAAGGCTGAGTGGCAAACACGCTTACTCCTGCACTTGCTTCCAGAGACAACCGTGATCCTTATCACACCAGTCTCCTTAACGACAAATAAAGCAACAGCAGCGTGCAGCAATCCTAAAACCCTGTTTTAAAGATGCAAGATTTCTGCAGCATAGAATTTGAAGCAGGAGGCTGTAAAATTACTGCTTGAGATGTTGTTCTGTGCGGTGCTTGAGCAGAGGGCATGACCAGGTGTGTCTGTTGGGAGACATGCTCTGGTGGAGCCTCTAGGTACCTTTTGCTCCTGGGAAAGTGGTTATAATTTTGAGAAAGCATTGGGCTTATTTATTCCAGGCCATGTAAGAAGACTAGCTGTGCTCCCACTGTGCCAGTGTCTTAAGGCTAGATCCTGTGCCAGCACTTCAGTATTTTTCTCTCAAAAGCCTACAGAGGAGCCCTGTACAAAAAAAAAAAAATAAGAGGGGAGAGAAATAAATTAAATAAAATTAGTGTTCATTGTAATACTCAAGAGATTTGAATTGGACTCCTCACCATCTCCACAGAAGTCTACTTTTCACGAATATGCACAAATGTTTAGGAAATGAAAGTTCCGTTTTTTCTGAGAGTGAGTAGTAGGTATCAACACAGAGGCAGAAGATACTGCAGTGCCATGAAAACAGCCAAATGGAGGAAAGGACACATTTCTCATGTTTTAAGAAAGTGAAGGCAGAAACTTAGTTTCCTGCCTAGGGAATTTCTGGGAAAGAATATAAAGAGTCAGAACCTGATTAGATCAGAAATGGGTAATGAAATAACTGCCAGGACTGAGCTTTACCACAGGCCAGCAGCAAGTAGCTTAGCATTCATAAAGGGAGCTTTAATGAAATAGGAGCTGACACAATATGGACCTTAAGACTCCATTTCATAGCAAGACTGTGTTCAAGGATAATTGGGAACAGAAAGTCAACTTAATATCTTTTTGTTTGGAAGAAAGGTAAGGGAAAGCCAGTGGATAAAAATAGTTAGATCAATTCTGCTTCTGTATGGGCCACTACTGCAAAAACCGCTATTTAAAGCTGATTATTCTTAATACCCCACCATCTAGTGTATGCACTACAGGCTTTTTGTGACTAATATATCACAAACATCCAATGATGTTTTTCCCTGTTGGACTTTGAAATGTCATCAAACTGTAATATTTGGTTTTAGTCATCACAATTTTTGCTAAATTTCCACACATTCATTCCCAGAGACACAGACCCAGTGCTCCTGCCTGATACCTTACCAGTGCCCCAAAGAAGACAGCCGCCCTCATTGCATCCAAATGGAGTCGACAGGAAGGAGGAGGACAGTCAGTCATTGCGTGCTGGCAGCCATGAAATGTGCAGGCATCAAACTGAAGGTGCTAGAACATGGGAACTGCCTGGCATGACTTTTTGACTCTCTGCAAACACCATGATCACCATGTCAAGCACAGGTTGAGCCAAGGGGAAAAGTTGAATATGAAGCAACGAGGAGGTCAAAAACAAAGGATGAGAGAAAAAAAAATAGAGCTCACTTTATCAGATTTTTGGGAGAAGGGTGGCAGTGGGCTTTTTCCTGTATGAAAACGATCTAGGGTGCAGGATACAGGGACTGCTGTCACTGCTGGCAATTCTGCGGATGTGCAGAGGGAGGGAGGGGACCAGATGGGAAGGGAGAAAAAGACTAAGTCTCCCTTAGTCCTGCGTGAAACTTTTCCTTTCCTCAGTCGTTTGTTTCTTTGTCCTTGTGCTTGTGACTGCTGTGCATTCTGGCTGTCTCAGTGGCTGAGTACCTGCTGTACCATCCAGGCAGGCAGACCAGGCACTTCAGCACCAGTGCACATTCCTTCTGATGCCAAATGGGGAGGGGGTAGCAGGAGGCTACCTGCACAGGCACTCATGGTACAAACTCAAGGAGAAATACAAAATACTGAAAAAAACACAACTATGCAATAACTGAGTGAAGTCTTCAAAACTATGTGATTTTTAATTGAAGGGAAGGGGTGTTTGCTTTTTGTGCTTGTTTACTGGGTTTGAGCTTTAGACACTGATGGAGAATTTTTATGGTGTCCTTTGAGGTGAATTAAGCACATGTTTGTACTTAAATATAAAAGAAACATTTAATGAACAATGCATTGGGCAGATGCACTGCAATACTAGGTTCTACTTGAAGGGGTTCTACTTGGAGTCTGCAAAGATGCATCTCAAGCAGGTTTCCTGTATACACTTGCACCAGCACCAGTCCTGAGAGCACCTGTATGGAGCACCTCAGCCCAACCATAGGTCCATTTCCCCATCGTTCCTTGATCACAGATCATAACTGCTGAGCAGTTACAATTAGAATTTTCCCTTCAACACTAGCAATTTTACAAAACTAAGGAATATAAACTTGCTTTCTGAGAAGGAGAAAACAGGAAGTCACTTTTTTTTTTTCCCACCAGCAGTCATTGAAACAATGAAAATCAGGCAAAAAGAGCATAGAATTGAATCAGAGAATTATAGAATTTCCCGAGTTGGAAGGGACCCACAAGGATCATTGCAGTCCAACTCCTGGTCCTGCACATAACACCCCAAGAATCACCCCAAGAACTATATGCCTGAGAATATTGTACAAATGCTTCTTGAACTCTGTCAGGCTTGGTGCTGTGACAACTTCCCTGGGGAGCCTGTTCCAGCACCCAACCATCCTCTGGGTGAAGAACCTTTTCCTGATATCTAAACCTCCCCTGACACAGCTTCATGCTGTTCCCGTGGGTCCTGTCACTTGTCACCACTGAGAAGAGATCAGTACCTGCTCCTCCTCTGCCCCTCGTGACAAAATTGTAGACCACAGTGAGGTCTCCCCTCAGTCTCCTCCAGGCTGAACTGACCAAGTGCCCTCAGCTGCTCCTCCTACGGCTTCCCCTCAAGGCCCTTTGCCATCTTCATTGCACCCGTTTGGATGTTCTCTAATATCTTAATATCTTTCTTACATTGTTGTGCCCCAAACTGCACACAGGACTCGAGGTGAGGCTACCCCAGTGCAGAGCAGAGTGGGACAATCCCCTTCCTCGCCCAGCTGGTGATGCCTTGCCTGATGCCCCCCAGGACAAGGTTGGCCCTCCTGGCTGCCAGGGCACTGCTGACTCACGTTCAACTTGCCGTTGACCAGGACTCCCAGGTCCCTTTCCACAGTGCTGCTCTCCAGCATCTCATTCCCTAATCTATACACACATCCAGGGCTGCCCTGTCTTCAGTGCAGAATCCAGCATTTGCCCTAGTTAAACTTCATATGGTTGGTGACTGCCTGGTGCTTTGATTTGTCAAGGTCTCTCTGCAGGGTCTCTCTGTTTTTGAGGGAATCAACAGCTCCTCCCAGTTTTGTGTAAAAAATTTAGTATCCCTTTGAGTCCTGCATCCAAGTTATTTATGAAGATATTGAAGAGCACAGGGCCTGAGATGGAGCCCTGCAGAACCCTACTAGTGACAGGTTTCCAGCCTGATGTGACCCCGTTCATTATAACCCTTTATGCCTGATGCATCAGCCGATTGCTCACCTATGTCATGATGCATGAGAAATGTCCACTGGTGAACAACCTGCCCCATGTGTAAGTGTCGCACCTTGTCAGAGGTTGGGCAGAGTCACCTGGGAGCTGGTAGTGAGCTGGATGTGAAATGGTTATTTTTCTGTCCAAAGAAACACATTTGGAATGTTATCAAGCTCCCCAGAACAGCAGCTAGTCTCAACTGGGTGGAGCTCAAGAAAAAAAAGAAGAAATTAATCCTGCAACTAAATACAATAAAGCATTATGCTTTCTTGTTTAAAATGTATAGTAAAAATTTTTACCAAAACCTGCATACATTTTCCTTGGTAGTTCTATAGCTCTTTCCTCCAGCTGAAGATCTATAATAATATGCTAGTGGTGGTCTAGGAGGGGGTTGTAAATTTGTTTGTCTATAGTTTTGTTTTGTTTTTTTTTTTAGTGCCCTTATTTCTTCTTGCTGGTTGCGTTCTGTGGGGGAAGAATCACTCAGAATGGTTGTGTATGCTTTTCTGCTCCAGCAACAAACAATGAAGATTTCTTGCTCCCAACCCTCTAACCTTAATGATGGTTTCATTCCAGACTGATTCCAGTGTGACTGCCTAGCAGTGTTTCTGCTAAAAGGAATTTTTTTCACTTGACACTTCTCACCATACTAAATTGCCAGACAAAGTTATTTCCTGGTAAACAGAAGGCAGCCAAGTGCTCCCTGACTGTCCCCATTTCTCCAGCAGCTCTGGTTTCAGAGTGGTTGTGTGCTGTGGTAGCACTGGCATTAACTTCCATTGTTCTCTCTTGCTGGTGGGGGTAACTCCTGTAGTTTCTGTTTTACAGTTGAGCATTATGGCACAGAATGGAGACATCATCTGCCACTCACTGAAAAGGTTGTGATTATGTAATAAACTGAATCCAGAGGAAATCTTCAACATGCTGAAATTAGTGGGAGTTTTACTATTGGCTTCAGTAGTGTCTGGACTGCACTTGCAAGGACTTTGGGTTTGCTCCTGTGCTCTGTCACAGGGGTCACCAACCCTCACATCAAAGACTGCAGTTCTTTAATATTTCCTGCAACAACTATCTTTTCGTTAGATATGAGAACTTCTATTAGGTAATAATAGTTTTCTTGTTCACTGTGGGCAAGGAATGCCATCCCTCCTTTGCCAGTGTAAGCTTCAAGCAACGTACCTGGCTTGATGGATCATTGCCTTGGGTCATAAATTATAATTGGGAAAGATAAAGCAAACCTGAAGGAATCTGTCAGGATAAGCAAGGTCACAGAGACCTTACCAGTTCTCAAGGGACAGCTTTCTTGGTAATGCAGCTTCACTACTGCACAGAAAAAACCCCCCATCTATTTGTTCTTGTTATTAGAGAGGAGGCATTATCCAAAACAAATATAATGAGCCTTTCCATTGATGCAAACGTCCACACAACAGTCCAGCATATCTAATTTTTCACTGGCACAAGACTATGTGAAATGTGTATAGAATACACTTACCACATTGAGACAGCTGAAGCATGACTCAATGGCTGGACAATCAGCAGCTGCTCTTGTGGGCTTCTCACCATGGCTTTTGTATAAATAGTTGTTGTAACGTAGAATGCAAAATTTGATCAAATATAAAAGATAATTGAACATATATATTTATAGTGTCTGTTATAGTGATTATCCTTCTGCAACCTCAGAAAGGAGTAAGTAATCTAGAGTTTTCTCCATGAGTTTGAAGTAAAGTCTCATACACAGATTTAAATATCAACAACCAAACTTGCTGATGAGCCACTGCTTAGGTATAGTATTTACTGTTTCTTGTTACAGCTATGAAAACATCTTGTATTCAATGTTTGAGTCACGATGTCTTTATTTAAAATGCTGTGAGTGGTAATTGTCTATTGATTTAAGATTTTGGTGTAAAACGAGACTATGACTACTAAATGCAAAATTGCTAGATGCAGTAAGCACAGTAGAAAACAGGTACCAGTGCATTTACTAGTAACAATTCCCCAGTGAGTGATAAAAGAGACCATCATCCAGGTTTTTCCCACTGAGTTCCTGCAGAGCTCATTGCTCTCTGATGCACTCTTGAGTTTACACTCCAGGCAGGGCAGGAATGCATCTGCAGCAGCAGTATTAGTTGTGGCATTCATGACAAGCTCAAGCTCAATGCATTCAGATATGTATTCGGGGGAAGAAGTCCATCATGTTTCTTGTCACGCAGAAGTCCTTGATCAGTAGGCTTTGACTATTTTCTTCAGAAAAGGTGTGCTTCAGCTGTATCTGTAACAGAAGCGACTTAACTTCACTGATGAAGGGTTATGGGATAGAGATGCCACAAAAAACATTGTTTATAAACCAAAACTTAACCAAAATAATAACCCTCCTGCTCAGAGATCTCAATTACTGTAAGGGGTCTTTCAACAGGCTCCCAAGGCTGTGTATTCATATGTGAGTAGGTGTGAAGATTTCCAATGCTGAAGGATTTTGCTGATATGATCTTTCTTCCCTAATTACTGGGAGTGAGATTGCCCCTAAAGGTGTATGGCTGCACCCAAGGTAAGCATGTTTCACTGTCCTTTTAATCAGTTGAGGAGAGAAACTGTCTCTTGAAGGACAGAATTTCTGTCTTGTTAGGTAGACATCTCAAAACAGGTTGGGTGAGTTATGCCCTTAAGGTGCCTGTATTCCTCTGTTGACTGTGAAGGGAGCTGGGGGGTGGGGGTGTGGAACTAGGAAAAATACACATACTTACACTATGGATATCTAAAACTGGATTACACTAATCCTACTTCTTTTATTTTTTAAAAAATAATATATATTTATTTGAAATAGATAAGTGTATATACTCCTAACATATGATTTCCAGCACCAGATTGTCTTCCAGATCAGCGTCGTTTGTATTGCCACTTTTTTCAGGAATAACTGGCTCCACCCACAAGGGACCAAAGCTGCTGTGGGATTTAGCACTGTGATAACTCATGGTTAGAGACTGGCTCCCAAAGGGGTGTTAAGGACCAAATGAGGTGCCTGTGCCTCCTTCCCATTGCATGCTCTGTCAGCTAGAAACCATCCAGAGTTGTTCACATGTGGATGGAAGAAACAGTGGTGTTTGTATGAGACACAGTCAGCCACCAACAAAACAGGATTCTGCCTTGCTCATGACCCAGTGAGCCCAGTTGTTCCAGGACCTGCAATAACCAAACCCAGAGCAGACAAGACTTTATTTTAGCTGAACTGATTGTTGCCTTTTAGATAAAACCTGATTGCTAAAATTCCCATTTTGTCTTTGGAAGCTGTTACTTCCAAAACTTGCAGGGTAACAGAGTCTTTCATCCAGCATCATCCTTACCTGGAGAAATCATCTACCTGGAGCACATACGGAATGTCAAGCATCAGGGCATGAGGGTCATATGCACATATATGGCCCAGACCATCTTCCCATGGAATTCGCTACCCTATCCATGGCCTAGGAAACCATTTCAGCCCCTCAAGGCCATCAGGCCCTGCCCTGCCTGGCCATAGACCTCATTGGTTGGGATCCCTGCTTATGAAACAACATCCCCTGCTGGCCTTGGCCTGTCCCCATTCCCAGGAGGGTGCACAGGGCTAGGGCTGCCCGGCTCTCTGGGGGTAGAGTGGGAAGAGGATCTGTTGGAACGAGTCCAGAGGAGCACCATGAATATGACCAGAGAGCTGGAACACTTCTCCTAAGGGGAAAGACTGAGAGAGTTGGAGCCATTCAGCCTGGAGAAGAAAAGGCTGCTGGGAGACCTTATATCACCTTCCAGTACCCAATATGGGCCCCCAAGTAAGCTAGAGAGGGGTGTCTTACAAGAACATGTAGTGATAGGACAAGGGGAAATGGCTTTGAACTGAAAGAGGGTAGATTTATATTAGATATTAGGAACAAATTGTTTAGTGTTACAGTGGTGAGGCACTGGAACAG